TGCTCCCTGGGGCCCCTCTCCCCAAGCCAGGTGGGCACCAGCGTGGCTGGCCTGGCACTGGCTCTGCGGGGACAGCCGTCAGTGCCGGGGCATCCCCAGGAGGCAGGGCGTCCTCGACCTTGTGCGTAATCCATTGGGCTTACCTCGGCCTCGTCCCAGCTCCGGAGCTGACGGAAGTACTTGAAGCAGTTGAGCTTATAGTAGGACCAGCCCCTGGGGCAGTAGTTTATGTACCGGGTGCCTGTGGAGGGAGAGCCGCGGGGAGGGGTAGGGGACAGCCGGCGTTGCCAGTTGGAGAGGAGCATGGCTCCCTTCCGTGCCCGCTGCAAAAGCGTCCGCCCCCCAAGTCGTGGGACTCACCAGCTGCCTGCAGGACCCCCACGCAGCCCAGCAGCAGGAGCGCAAGCCTGGCCACTGCCACCATCCTCCTCGCTCCTGGATGCATCTCCTGCAACAGCTCGGGGGGGGTCACACCAGGTCCCTCAGGGACAGGGGATGCTGCCTGCACCCAGAGGGTGCACGCCTGCCCTGCTGTGGACTGAACCCTGGCCCCTTTCAGCCAGCTGGAGGAGATGGTGGCCCTGGGGTCATGCCTCCCTCCCCTCCCTGGCACAGGTCACTGCCCCCTGCCTGTACCCTGTCCCCTAGGCATGGCTCAGGGTCCCCAGCCCCCACCGGTAGCAGAGTGTCCTGGCCCCACCAGTCCCAGCCTCAGTGGGGGGCACCTGGGTGAGCCAGGCGGCTCTGTGGGGACATAGAGAGAGTGCTGCCATGGGCACGGGTGGGGGGGACCCCAGCCCTGCCCTGGCATCGGGTGGCATCAGGCGGCAGCGGCAATGGCATAGGCAGAGCTGGAGCCGGTAGGGCTGCAGGGACTACGTGCACAGCATTATTTTCACCCCCCAAGCTCGTAGCACCACCAGACCCAGGCTGGGGAGGCAAATCGGCTACATCAGCGCAGCTCTCCTTTATCCGAGCTAATCCCCAGGCACTGGGGCCGATTTGCAGACTCAGCTCGTCTTCCCCTCAAAGAAGCAGCGACAAAAGTCAACATGGGGCTGAATATTGCATCGTTGCAGCCTGCTCCATCCAGCAAAGGCAGCACTCAGCTCCCCTGGGAGCTGCTGCGTCTGGGACCAGCTCCTGCTCACCCAAAAAGCTACCTCGGAGCATCCCGAAGCCACAACTGCCCCTCAAGGGTCCCCTTCCTCACCTGCTGTCCAGAGATGGAGAGGAGTAGTGGCTTCTCCTGGGTCGCCGGGAGGGGAGAAGAGCTGCCCTTTATAGCCAGGTGCTCCCCAGCATCACTGTTTGCCCAGCGCAGGTAATTCTCTCCATAAAAACCTTACTGCTGACTCCCTTCTACCTCCCCTGCTTTACTGGAAAGCCGCCCAGATCTCCACTCTGTTTACATTCAACGTTACTCCAGAAAAAAACAGGAAGAACCTCTCCTAGTTGGTCAATAAGCCCCCTGCAATCAGTGTTAATTACTAATGCACGCACAGAAACAACCTTGCGGTAGAGAGCAGCCTGGCACCAGGCAGGGATGCCCATGGGCCTAGCCCCGGCCGGACAAGGGGCTGGCAGGGATGAACCCCAGGGGAGGCTGCCCTGGTCCCAGCCGGAGCATCCCTGCAGTACCACCCACCAACATCACCTGCATCCCTGGCCGAGGGATGGCACCCGGCCAGGCCCCACGCCCTGCCCGGCTCTGCCATGTGTCACCCACACACCGCCCTTGTTTGAACTGCCTGGGGATGGCTGTCAGCAGGATGCAGGATGCGGAGATGTGGGAACAGATAGCGGCGGGGGTGCCTGGCCCCCACGCCCGGCAGTGACGCAGGGCTTCGCCAGTTTGCGTCCCTCCACGACGAAGGGGCAGGTCCTGCGGCAGCAGAAAGGGAGGCTGCTGCTGGCACAGAGCTGCAGAGGGGGGCTGCCGCTGGCCCCAGCAGCCAGAGCCCTTTGGCACAGTGGGGCACAGCCTTCTCCATCACGGTCCTTACTCCTCACCCTGGGGTGTCCTCTGGCACTGGTGGGAGGTGGCTGAAGCTCATCTACCCTACTGCTTCAACCACGCTGCTCTGGAGAATCGCTTTGTTGGCTCCTAACATACCAAAGCAGCTTTGAAAGCTCTTCCCGCTGCCTGTCCCGTGGCCTCTTGCAAAGCTGCCAGCTCCTGCCCAGCACCCTGCTGCTGCCAGCTAGGGCCAATGCCCGGCTCTCCTTCCCCCAGTCCTCTCGAAGACCCTCAGAGGAGGCCACTGGGAGCTACCCAGGAGGCAGCTGCCTGCAGAGGATTCAGCCCCAGAGCCAAGCCCCTCATCTCCCAACACAGAGGGCTTGTAGCTGGCTGAAGCTGTTCCTTCTGGCTGTCTGGCTCGAGCCATGTCCTCCAGCCCCCCAGGCATCTCCCATGGCTCCTCCGTGGCAGCACTTGCTGAAACGTGCAGCAAGGGCTGCTGCGCCCACAGGGAGCGGCTCCCCACCAGCGTGCAGAAGCAGGTCTGGCTTTCGCCCTGGGGAGGGAGGAGGATCAGAGGCTTCTCCTTTGCCCACACAGCGGGGATACAGCTGCTGCTGCTGCTCCCTGAGACCTCTCCAGGCTCAGCCAGCTTGCGAGGCACCCTCGGGGCTCAAAGGGGTAAAGCCTTCTTGTGTCCAAACACAGCTGCTGCCTGCTATGGTTTCTCCTGAAAGAGCGAGCCTTACAGAGGAGATCAGCTCCTCTGACTAACGGGGGAAACTTCAAACACAGTCCCCCTCCCCATCCTCTAACAGGACTCCTTCCTCATTTTACAAAAAAATCATGAAAATGTTCCCCAATGGAGCCTGAGGCTACTCCAGTACTCCTCGGTTAGACAAGGGATACCACAGCTCCCTGCCGGGCTGGTTCAGCGAGACTTACTTGGATGCAAACCCACACATTTTCACAAGCCCCTCGTCATCCCAGGCAGGGGAAGAGGCATGCACCGACCCCAAGGAGACGCAGTTTCAAGTCTCAGCCTGAGCACCGGCAAACTCAAGGCAACTGTGCCAGAGACACAGCAGAGCTTGCTAAACTTTGGCACAGATGTGCAACCCGTGGGAGAACACGGATGAAAGCCTCCCGGAGGTTTGTACTTGCCAAGCTGGCTCTACGAGAAGATAAAGGACCTGCGCTGTTTGAATATTAAACTCTTAAAATGCCCCCAGCAGCTTTATCCCTGTGAAGCGGTGTAATTCAGCTACCGGCTCCACCCGAGTCCGCAGTGAGAGCTGGAAACCGGACAGGTAAGGGCTGGCTGAGCCCACTGGCTGCAGTGGCACCTCCTTGCTCAAAATACAGGAACACAGCCATTGTCAATTGGTTCTCTAATTGTTCAGGTCAAACTTTTAAAGTCTGGAAACGGCATGGAGGAGCCGTGATTCCCTGGTTCAGAGGCTGGAGAATCGCCCATCTTCACACATCGGCTGTGAAGCCCAAAGCCAAGGGGGCAGCCTCAGCTCCAGGGACAAGGTGGCTCCTCCTGGCTGCAGGAACAGCCCAGGGAAGCAAGCAGGACCTTTCAAAGAGCGAGTGAATCCACAGCTTCACTGACCACCGCCTGACCCAGGCTTGCCCACCACCTTTCTAAAAGCCACGCAAAAGCCCTAGCCCTTCTCCCAGGCAAGTGAGAGCTCTTATTCAAAGCATCTCAAAAAGGCCCCATCCCAGTCCTTCCCAGTATGCCCAGCTGCTGGTTACTGCCCCCTTCTCAGCTAACCAAGAGACCCAGAAGCCTCCTGCCAGGCACCCGAGCTAGGCTGCTGTCAGCTCCCAGGCACAGCTCCCCTGGATGGAGCCAGGCGGTGGGGTTTGTGCGCTGCTGAGACACAGCACAGAGCACCCTTGATCCCCCCAAAAGCTCTCTCCTGACGTGGACCGCGGGGGTCCTAACGAGCCCTCCCTTGCCAGGGGCCTGACCAGCCATCAAACACCGATGATCCCTTTATAATCCTGCCTTTACAACCCAGCGGCTGTGCTGCGATAGCCGGGAAGACAAATGAAAAGAGCAGCACACAGACGCCGGGCACATACTCTTTATTCTGGGGATAAAAATTGCTTATACATTTTGCAGCAACTATTTTCATAAAAGACTTTTATAAAAAATGTAAAAATAAGCAAATATTTTCCATTATTAATATAGGAAAATGCTGCTGTGTGAATGGTTACTCTACAACTTAGGAGATAAAATACCACCTTAAGGAGATATTATCTTTACAAGTAGTTAAAAAAAAAAAAAAAAGAAAGGCAGAGGG